CATTCACAGAGTTCAAAAACAAAGGCACAGTTTTATAGCAGGGACAGTGATGAAGAAAATGGTCCTGGAGCTACTCAAGGTAACAGAAGATGGGGATCCTACAAAGAAAGAGACCCAAAATCAGGGTAGCTTTTAATTTCCAAACCATTATTGGTGATTAAAACTTTTTTCTTGCTGCAGTTCATGCCTATTAGTGATTTTCTGATATGAACCAAAAATTCTTGTTTAACTCTTGTGGTGGAAGAATGTCATGCAATCTCATATACAAGTGCTAGTCTTCTATATGAGAATTTGAAAACAAATGTTTGCTGGTAGTATTGCACTCTTCAAGGATCCACTCACATGAATCCAAAAATTTGACAACTGCTTCTCCCAGAAATTGCAACTGTAACAGCGTGTAAGCTGTTGCTTCTTTTCTGAGATAAATAGGGAGAATTAAGACAGAGGAAAAACATTCTCCAAATAAGAACATTGGCATACCATTGGAGCTGATTAGTGAATTTTAATCTGAGTGATCTGAAGAAAATGCAGTTTGCCAGATGTGGGGTTTTTTTTAATTTGAAAAGCTGAGGGAGAGCAAGTGTTTGGAGAAGAATTGCATCTTCCTGGAGCCGACCAAAAGGCTCTCTTAGCTATTGCCTGGTCTCAGAGAGTCAACTGCCAAAGGCATGAGCAGTTTTAGACCTCAGCTGCCCATATCCCTGAATCTCTGCTGTGCTATGTCTTTAATTTTATTTTCTATTGTTTTCTTGCATTAAGGGGTTTTATTATTTAAAATTAAACTAAAAGCTTTTCTTTCCCTTACTTGCTTTGAAATGCTCATCAAGAAGGCAATTATTCCAAATAAGACCTCTCTTTCTTATTCAGATTGAATATTGAGTACTAGGTAAAAAGTCAAATAAGAGTGCTTTAACTGACTTTTAATTTTATGTATGTATTATTTTTATGTCCATGTGTGTAGGTATATACTATAAACCAATGAAAACTAATATTCCCTGTGGGATGGCTTTCAGTTAGGTACAGACCATAGAGCTAGTTGCCCCTGAGGAATTAGAGAGCTGGCTACTCACAGAACTGAGTTTGATGGATGGATTATTCAATTAATTAGGAATTTGCTGGATGGCCACATCCAAAGAGTTGCAGTCAACAGCTCAATGTCCAAATGGAGATCAGTAACAAGTGGTGTCCCTCAGGGGTCTGTACTGCGACTTGTACTGTTCAATATCTTTACCACTTATGTAGATAGCAGGATCAAGTGCACCCTCACCAAGTTTGCAGATAACACCAAGCTGAGTGGTGCTGTTGATACACTTGAGGTTTGAGAAATGGGCAAATATGAACCTCACCTCATGAAGTTCAACAAGGCCAAGTGCAAGGTTCTGCACCTGGCTCGGGGCAATCACCAGGATCAGTACAAGCTGGGGGATGAAGGGATTGAGAGCAGCCCTGTGGAGAAGGACTTGGGGATACTTGTGGGTAACAAATTGGACATGAGCCAGCAATGTGCACGTGCAGCCCAGAAAGCCAACCATATCCTGAGCTGCATCAAAAGAAGCATGGCCAGCATGTCGAGGGAGGTGATTCTGCCCCTCTACTCCACTCTGGTGTGTACAGCATCTGTCTGCCACCTGGAGTACAGCATCCAGCTCTGAAGTCCTCAGTACAGGAAAGACATGGACCTGCTGGAGCAGGTCAAGAGGAGGGACACAAAAATTATCAGAGGGCTGGAACACCTCTCCTGTGAAGAAAGGCTGGGAGATTTGGAGGTGTTCAGCCCAGAGAAGAGAAGCAGAACTGCAGATATTTTTCTCCAAAGGTTTGGCCTAAGTTTGTAGCCACATGTCCATAGGCAAATGGCCAAGGGTAGCTACTTAGCAAGACCATTTCAGAGAAATTTAACAGAAGGTGGTTAAAACAATGAAAAGACAAGGAAGCAAGTGCTACACAGAGATAAACAAGGAGTGATTTGTCATTGTGCAGTTATGAAATGCAATGGGGAAGCTAACTCTGAAACAAACCCTGTCACTAACTGCCTCCTTCCCCAGATCTTCTTCCCCCTCCTGTCCCTCCTCCATGTTGATTTTTGCTTTCTACTTGTTACAGCAATGTATAACAATTATTGGAGCTATATCATTGTTGTCTGGAATACCTTAGAGTCTTTAGGAAGATTCCTGGTTTCTTATCATTCATTATCATCATGATAATGTCAGTATTACAGGCCCCTGTCGCTGGACCATCAGCTACTGCTCTCTCTAGTGGAAGATCTCTCCCTGTTACAGTTAATACCTGTACTGTTCCAGAGCTCTCTCCACTGCCTGGAAATACCCTGGAAGATGGTTATGATGATGGGACAGAAGCTCCTGGACCTAAAGATGCTTCTCTTTCAGAGCAGAATGAACATGAAATCATTGAGATCCCTGAAGAAAGTGACAGAAACAAGGATTCATGGACAGGTGAGGCCAGAAGAGCAGGGCTGTTAGTTTTCCTAATTTGTAGTTACTGTACTGAACTCAGGGAAAATCAAGGTGGAGGGTACCTCAAGGGATCACCTAGGATTTATCTAACCACTGTCAGGAAGGAACACTATCTACCTACATGAAGAGTGTAGGTTAGATGTTTGTTATTCTCTTCTTACAGCCACTCGGTAGCAGTGTTCCCACAACCTCTGCAGGTAATCTACACTCATGCTGTGTTTTCCTTACAGCTATAAAATTCTTGCCTGTGGCCTAACCTAAGTTTTCACTGCTGCAAATTAAAATTGTTACTTCTTACTCTAATGACCATGGGGATAGAGGAGTTGCATTCACCTTTGTAACAGCCTCTTAAGTGCTTGAAGACTGTTAATATATCTCCCCTCTGTTCTGTTTTGTATTTAGTTTCTCTAGACTGCAGCAACCTAAATTAGTCAATTTTCTACACAGGTCCTGTTGACTAGACCTCTGCACATTCTGTATGTCTCCACCCAGGCTGTGTCAGTAGGTCCCTATCTTTCAAAAAGTGTTTCAAAACCAAAATTTTACAGTATTTCTGTACAGCATGATACTAAGACCTTACTAGTGTCAGGTAGAGCAGAAGGACTGCTTCATATGTCTTACAGGATATCCTTCTGTTTATGCATGCCAGTGTGAGGTCTCCCTTTTTTGCAACAGCATGACACTTCTGATAGTGCTCAATGTCTGCTCTGTAAAATACTACATTAGACATCAATCTTCCTATTTATGCAGTTGATTGTTTCTTCCTTCATTTGTAGTCTTCTAAGCATCCTTATTAGATTTCATTCTATTTTCATCAAAACTTTGCCAAGACCATTTGAATTCTAATATAGTATGGTTATCCTCTGGAAAATGTAGTAAAAACATGTTTATTTTATCTTAGGACTTAATAAAAATACTTAGTTGTATGTAGGGCTGTCAAAGAATCTTACCTGATACAGTGAGCTACACTAAGAATACCACTTTTGACTGAACTTGT